AACGTGGCCATCTCTTTTCAACAGGTTAAAGCTGGGGATAAAGATGTGTCTTATTTGAGAATAAATTACTTGTTAAATACTGTATTTCAAATACACAAATAACATACTGTTGATACCGCTGATACTCTTGTTGCAAACCACATCTAAAAAAAATTCTGCACCGCAAAATACAAATTACCATATTCTCAAACTTATTAAATACGTGTTTCAAATTGAAATACTGCCCATCTCTGCTTGTTTATGCCAAACAATTGAATTGCCGGCCATTCATTCCTCACTGTGTTTCTCAATTTCAGCACAGAAAAAGATGTTTCCCAGACACACACTATTCTATGCTATAATACTTTTTACCAGCAATGCAGCTGAGATTTTAGTGGTTTTAGAGGTTGATGATATCCCTGGTATTGACTCTTTAGGGATCACAATTTGATTACTTTCTAATACTATCATATGGTGGTGCAGTGTATTTTGTAATCACGAACATCCAATGAGTTGAATAAAATTGATGTTAAAAAGTCCTTAGACTCCTCAAGGGCCATTTCCTAGTGGCTCAGCACATTAGTCCATATGTGGACCCATCAAGTCATGCAGGTCCAAGTTTTCACGTTTGTATAATGAAACATCATCCCTCATGTCTCCTGTGTGCACACACTCTACCTAATCAAGCAAAAATCCCATGATGGCACTCAGGAGATGATAATGTTTATTGAATCCTTCATTCCACTGAAGTGCCATTTATTAGCATGCTGCTAAAATCGTGATGGGCTGTAAAATCAGCTTTTGCCTCTTAGGATACCATAATATGTTGCTTTCTTGATTGACACCTTTATAGTTTGAGGCAAGGCGCAATCTGAATTAAAGAATGTTTTCCTTTAGAATAGAAATTTTTACTTTAATGTTGAAGCTGATGGGTGGCCATTTTTAATTGATGTTCACCTCATTCATCACTGTACCCACACATCTTAACCAATCTCTGTGTGTACACACAAGGCAGCAAAACAGCAACAACAGCTACTAAGACCTGAAATGTGAGGGTTAATGTTATAGGAATTGTTGGACATTTTGGGGAATGTGCTTATTGCTTTCTTGCTGAGTGTTAGATTAGACGTTACCTTAAAGACACATAAAAGAAGATGCCGCCTTTATTGAATAGGCTAAAAGTAAAGGTACAGTCACCAGCAGATTACTCGCCGCTGGTGGTAGCTTCATATTTAGTGTACAGATATTTTTTAAGTTAAGAAAGCCATTGAAACAAAGTAAAGAAATGGGATAGGAGCACACAAGCTGCAATTTAATTTATCTTCATGTGCTGTATTTAATGAGGCAGAAATGTTTTTAGATGCTTAACGCTGATCCTGAACTGGGAAGCGGCTCACTACATTCAAAGCAGTACTTAAAACATTATGGTATTACATTTTTATTCTGTGTAGATGTGTGCCACCTTGGCAGTCAGCCCTGTCTTTGTCTTTGTGTGCCTGTCAGTGCATGACTGCTTGGTTATGTGTGTCTGTGCATGTATGTATATGAGGACTCAGCTGCAAAAGGTCTTTAATTAGGATTGGATGGCTCCTTGTATTCTGGGTATTCTCAGCTATTGCACAGGCAGAAGTCCTGTGGGACAAGCTCTCCTATATTAGACATGGAGAACTACTTTTCACTAAGATTTATTGAAGCATTCTGTTGCTTCATATTTCCATCTGCCGTCATGCATCCGGGACCATCTTGTGGCCATTCAACTATACATTTTTTTAATTAATCTCCAATAAGTTAATTGCTTTAGACACTGTGCTCTATCAAGGTGGCATTCAGGACGATGACAACTAATGCTCCACGTGACAAATGGCTCTTGATGGTTTTTGTTCATTTCATTCTTATTCTGCACATATCCCCACTGGGTAGATGTTATGGGTGAAGGGGCTGTCAGCCATCTGCGTTATGACAGAATCATCAAGAAAATGCCATGTGACTTGATGAGCTCACGGCAGACCTTGGTGACTGGTGTGAAACTTGTTATGACACTGAACTACTGGACCTGAAAGGGAAAATTAACTCTTGGGAAATGGAGAATAAGCTGGTATTCACTCCAGAAAAAATGGCAGCAGCATTAGTTTACTTTGTACTTCCTTCCTTTCCTGACAGCAATATTTGAAATGTAAAGAGTATGGTATGTATTGTGGCAGGATTGTGGGAAGTAAAATCTTAACTTGGAGTCAACATAAAATCCATTCATAAACAAATAAGTACATGGTGTTATCATATAAGCTTCTCCATATGGGTTTGTGTATTTTTAACAGTTTCACGCTGTAAGGGAGTAAATAAAACTCTGAGCTGATCAGAGACCAGACAAGACACTTTCCTGCTGGCACAGATAGAATCATCACATAACTGTCTCGCCTCCTTCAAGTTGAAAAGGTAATACTCTCCATCAGCGCAGTCTGCTTCGCTCAGTGTGCCAGCTCTAAATGGTTGAAATTCATGCCCACTTATAGCACTGCTGTGATCTGCACTGCGAAGGCTTCATGGCCCAAGAAATATAATTTCTCAACCAATTTATTCAGACGCTTGTTGCACTGGACACAAAAATTGTACCATATTTTTAAAAATGTGACAGCTCCATTGACAAAAGGATTTATATCTTGCTGCAATATTATTTAATATTATTGAAGCTGCATTTTTTATGTGACATTTGTAAATTAAAAACGGTAAATTAATGTAATAAATTATGAATTTGTGTTACTAGCCTTTGACTGCAAATTGGATTTACACTTTGGTTTTGGTTTTTGGATTTGGTTATATGGCATGAGCTGTAGATATCAAATAGGCTTAAAACATATGCATAGTTTTTCCTTTTTACAACATCTGGCATCTACATTTCTTCACCCCACAGTACAGTACATACAGTGCAGTTAACTGCTTCAGCTTCAACCTAGATACCACTTCACTGGACAGCACATCAAGAAACACCGCCAATCTGCTGCCTCAGGGTCAAAAGTTTCACATTTTCACTCTTTCCAACAAACCCCTTATGTTTTGGGATAAGGATGCATTTGGTGTTTATGTACTATATATAAGTTGAATTTGCTTCTTACTCTCAAATGGATTTACAGTACAGAAAGAAACCATGAAACCCTTAATACAACTTTTTTTGTAAATAGGGGAAAGTGAGCTTTATACCCATCTATTCTCTGGGAAATTTCAGACAGTGATGGGGGAGAAGGGATAGTAAGAGGTATTTCAGATGGGACTACTGTATAAAGTGCCTACTGACAGTCACAGTCAGCCTGATGTAGTTCACTCTGCACAGCATAGTACTGACACTCTACTACTGTCTCTTTAGTTCAGAGTAACTGTCTGTCTAACTCTTTCCCCTACTCAGCCTGACAACTGTGTTTGAGCAAAAGTGTCAAAAGTATTTTAACAATGGTGAATAGCTGCTTTCTAAGCTAATAAACAAATGAACAATATCTAGTATATACCTGTTAAGAAGCTGCTGTCGTTTTTAAAAACAGATAATTGACTATTTGGTTCCCAATGCAGCCTACCTACTTTCTGTTAGTGCTTGCTGAGCTGAACTGTAGCACAGAATAAAAGGCCAACCCCCCGAATCATCCATCTATCTAGTTATCATTATCTGGACCGAAGCCAAAGCTCCAGCTCATTCACATTTTAAACGCAGTGATTATTTTGACACCATCCCTCTAACAAAGTCAATTGGCCAAAGAAAATGACAGCCTATCTCTATTTTTCTAATAGTGGTCCTCCCATTCTTACTCTAATTAATGGATAGAGCAGTTGCAGCTGACAGCAGCCCTTTGATGTAGGGCTATCAGAATGTAATATGCCCCTGTGGCTGAGTTTTTATTAGCCAGAGTTGTGATATAGTGGGCTGAGCTGAGTTTAAGGGGCTCCTTTGGCCCTGTGTAGCTGCAGGAAGCCTGTCTAATAACCCTGATTCCACTCCTCACGCCATCCTAATCCCACACACCTCACCTGTTCATGGTGAACATATCTTTTCTCCATTTTCATCTACCTCTCAATTTACGTAATTCCTATTAAGTCCACCTTCCGCCTCTCTCTGTAGTTATTTCTCTCTCTGACAGCTGTCACTCACATGCAGAGATGGTAGCTTATACTGAGCCCAAATAGAAATATGGAGTGTTTGAAATTGTGCATCAATGCCAATTCTTCCCACCAGTTACAGTCAGCTAACTCTGAATGTACACTGTGCCTATATACAACTGAGAAGTAATTGCACATTCAGGCGAGTGGATAAATCAGTAAAATGTCCTCAAAATGAACTACAAAACTTTTGAAATGTTTTGACATAATTGCAAATTTATTCAGTACAGCCGATAAT